CTGACTTCAAACTACCAAGATCCCACCGCATTTCATATTCCACTAATTCCGCAGTACTCACCTCACCTTTTCCTAGCTTTGTGTCTGTCTGTCTCTTTTACGTCTGTGAATCATTACTCTACTTTTGTGTCTGTCTGTCTCTTTTACATCTGTGAATCGCTCTTTTGTCCCCACTCTCGACATTTTGCCACTTTGGTGTTCCTCTTCCTCATTATTCTGTAATAAAAAATAATCTATCTTTTCTTTCATTCTAGTGAGCTATTTCCAAAAAAATGTAAACCGCTTTGTGTGTTTTAGTTTGCTGTGCGAAAAAATAAGCCCCGACCGTAATTAAGAAAATTTTCATAATATTTCCACTCAAATTAACTTTAAAATTCAAAAGTCTGTCTTTAATTTCTGGTCATTACAAAATCCAATAAAAATCAATCTATGCGCACTACAACATATTTTAATATTAATACAATAGAATGGTTTTAGTTGTGTCTTAATAAAGACTGTACTTTAAGCCATTTAACGCATCGAGTAAATTTTGCACAAGATGAGTTACTGTTCAATCGCATCCTCTCAATGAATGATAAGAAATTTTAGTTGAAAATTATTATCATGTTTTTAATGAAAATAGAGGTCAAGTTTTAGTTGATCATTGATTGAGGATAATTTCAAACATTAAAAGAGCGCAAAAAAGAAACAAGTTAGGTCGAAGAATTGTAGCGGATTGCCACACTAATAAGCCTTGACTATGATAATATAACCTCAAAAGTATAGACGAAATTGACGCACGGTGTGGAACAAGTTTTCTTGGGCTGTGAATATTTTGCCACTGAGCTTGGTCTCAAAATTCAATTTTGGCTTTTGGCTATTGATTGGTGATTGATTAAGAGGTTTTCCCTCTCATGACGGCGGCGCGCTTCCTCTTATGATCAGCAGCGCGACCCCACTTAATGGTCAAGGAATAAGTAGTATTTCGTCTGTTTCAGAATGTTCCAGCGCACATGACATACATTGGCTCAGCTAGGTGGCGTTGCATTCTCCTCAAGCTTCACCAACTTTATTCAACAATGAAGATAGAAAATAGGAACTTTTATTCCAAATTTTCCACAAAAATGGATCACGTCGACTAAACGGATTTCCGTCATTCTTTTTTCTTGAAACTTCGTTCTAGTTCAATCTGCCATCACTGTTTTCTTTTAAATTACTGAAATTCTTCTTGAACAAAGAAGTTTCAAAAAGCAAAATGGACCTTCGAGTAGAATTCAAGTTTAATGAGTCTGAAAATTATTTCAAATACACGATAAAATTCCTTGACTTGGAAGATTTTTAACCTATTTTATGGTCAGAAAATATTAACTAAATCGTATTTTACCTAATTTCTCTTACCTGCAAATTAGTCACTTTATTATCAAATTTTATTCTTTCATTTCACTTCAATTACTCATTATGATTATTATATAATGAAATTGTTTTAATCGATACTCCCTGACTGACACAACTTGTGAAAATTTTTAGCGCGAACTATTTTTGATTGATGTATTTATAATTACATAAACCGATATTTCAATTTTCATACCTAACCATTATATATAATGATAGTTGGCATGAAAATGCGAAATAGCACTTAAATTATTTTCATTTGAAAATCTTCCCCATTTTCGAGAATTCCTGTTTCTATTTTTACTGACAATTACCAGCTATAATTGGGTTATTTGCATATCAAATTCCCTTCATAAATGGAATCTTACAGTGTCTTTGGTATTATGTTTTAGAAATATGCAAACAGAGTGAAAGTCATATGACAGGGTCTCTAGAAATTTCCTTTGTTACCATAGCGCGAAAGAGAGCCAATCAGTGACGAGTCACATTGGCGAAACTATTTCATTCCCGTAGATAAGCTTATTGCCACCTAGGCAACATTACAGTTGTAAAAGAGAGAAATTTCTCGATGGTAGATATACCAGTTAGTAGAGGAAGGGGCTCTCCTGGAGATAGCCTAGTTAGAAGGGACTATTTTAGAAGAGATAATCGCAACGATTATAACCAATTTGATGAATTCGACCGCCATTTTGATAACATGGAAAGACAACTTACAAATTTTCAGGTAAGTTAGCCTTGTTCAATTCTATTTTTACATAAATTTAATTCGAGTCCAATTATTGAAGACTATTATGTAGTTGAAGAGTGTGGGAGAAATTCGGTCTTGTTATTTAAATAAATCTCAATTTTTGAGGTGCTTCAATTGAGATATTCGAGTATATTTGGAATTTTTTGTTTTTCTCCTTTTACCATCGTATTAAGCAGCCTATTAACTATTAATTTTTCTAATAACCTGCTAATTTGCCTACATCGCTTAGGATTGAAATGTCAATATCAACAAGTAATGAAACCAATACTACTCATTACATTACTCGAAAACTAATTTTTTACCATTTAGTATTGGGAGTACTTATTTCGGGTCATTTTTCGTATTAAAATATCTTCGGAATATGCAAATCATAGGCAAGGGGATAATGCATCGCTTAACTGCGGAGATGAGGCATTCTACCAATGAGACACGTGGTTTTCCTCGTCAATAGCCATATTTATCCGCATAAAAAGACGTTTTGCATAGACAATTTTTTGTCAACAATTTCCATAAATACTTAAATTTGTAAGCGACTTCCTATCCTCACTTAATAACTGTGTTTTGGGTGTTAGAAGACAGGCTTCATGCTTATTTTATTTTATAAACCCAACTGTCATCATTATTCTACTCACGGCCTACCTGCAGCTTTTATTCGTGAATTTGCGTACTTAATCCGTCCTCTAATCTGTAATCAAACTATTAAAGCACATGTACAATGTAGATAATAAGATCATTTTGTGGCATTATGAGCGCGAATTTACCACTTTGAAGTTGTCTTTTGAATTTGAATTAGCCTTTTGATATGTTTCCATTCTCCGACCGCGGCCCGGGAAATTGGTTCAGACAAATGAATGAACAAATGCGAAGAGCCCACAATCAGATGATGGAATTTATGCGAGACTCTGGTATGAATAGGGGTTTTGACGACTTCTGGCATTTTCCAAGCATTTCGGACTGTTTTACCAAGGACGAGAATGGACGGGTAAGACATTCGAGGTAAAATGTGACACAAATATTACTTTTTTATCTAACATTTATGAAAACTTTGGTTGTTTAGACCATCTTTCGAACCAAGTTTAACCTCCAGGATTTTGATCCGGAAGACATAGAAGTCAGAGTTGAGAATCAGACGCTTTCTGTCCACGCCAAACATGTTAGGAGAACTTCTAATTCGTCCAGGGGACAGTACTTCTGTAGAGCTATGCTTTTGCCAGATGGAGTCTGTACAGAAGAATTGAAATCACGACTTGATAAGGTATGTAGAGTATATAGGTACTATCAAAAATATCGGGTTTCGTACAGTGTGAGTGTATCCTTGAATGGCAGTTGGTTAATTCGTCCACATTTTGATAGAAGAGTAGCATTTTTTAAATCGAAATCCTAAACATGGAAGAATTCCCCCAATTGATCTGTTTTAGCTCACATTCTTGCTAATGCAATTAAGTTATGTTGTGTATTTGAATGAAGAACCTGCGTCTTTTGTAAGTATGTGTTGACAGGCACCCCACTGACCCCCTAATGATAGGTAGTGGGAAGTCAGTGGACTAGAACGTATTCACCCTGTTTAATGTATTAGAGCATTGATGGGATTGAATATAGTTACAAAAGAACAATGCGAATTACAATTAAGATGCTTTGTTAATGGGCGCACGTGAAGAGAAACATTTATTACACCCAGAGTTGAGTTTTGCAAATATTTTCGCATAAAGTACCGCACAGTGCCAATGTTGTAGCGTTATAATTTAGTGATAGTAGGAATTAAGTAGGTACCTACTAGAAATCTGTAATTACCCATGCCAGAAAGTAATAAATGCGAATGAAATCAACTAACATTTAAATCTCTTCGCCAACATTAATGACTCCAGAAAATAATAATTTCCAATTAAATCAACAGAACATTTTCATAAATGGCATTTAAAGGTCAGCATTTTTTAAGCTACCCACTAAAGGGCTCACAAAATTTATCCCAAATCTTTGAATATGAAAAGTAGCTTCGGAACCATTTTTATTTTAAAATATATTAATTTCCTATTCATTGGATAAATAAATTTTAATGAGCTTAATGAGATGGTAATTGCAAGGGACAGTATTCTACTACATATGATTTTATGACTGGTACTGAGGTGATTAATTTTAATTTAACCTAATTTGTTTTTAATTCAATTTATTTTCTCTAATTAACAACTAACGCATTTAATTAGGATTAATAAATTGAAATAAAAATGAGGAGATTGTGTTTCTGGCACCTTTCGTTAATGCCCTTAAAGCGCTAGTTTGAGTTATGCCCTATTTCATTCGATTCCAGGGTTCTTTTTTAACATTTTGTTTTAATTAAAACACTTAAAATTTGCGTTAATTCGGTTCGATTTCCGCGCGCCACTTCTACGAAGTAATTTAAAATTATTTCATTCTCGGTTTTCTCATTCCAATAGTAATTACTGTTTGTTTTAATTGATCAATATTGATATTTAGGATGGATTCTTGGTTGTCGAAGCTCCTACTATAGAAAACGATTCGTCACAAGTATTTAATGCATATTTTTGTATTTATTTTGACTCCTTTGATGTTCATACTTATTTGACCATTGAAATTTCGTTTACATTTAGACGTCATCACAGTCATCGACAATAAATTCGATAAAAGTTATCAAGGAAGAAATGAAGGCGCCACAATCTTCACACAAGGTTTCCCATTAATTGCGAAAATAAATCGTTTTTGAATGAATAAGTAATGCCGAACGTGTTTGCCTTTGACATTTAGAGAGATGTTAAGTTCGTTGATAGTACTGACTCAGAAACAAGTTCTGTACTTATTGCGAGGCCATTTGATAAGGTAACAAAGTGAAATGAGAAAATTAAAGTAGACAACATTTCAAATATGCTTAATTCAATCCTTCGACGGTCTAGATTATTGTTCCTCGCCCGACTTACAAACCTGACTCTGTTAGCTCCATATCCAGTGCTACTGACGAGGTCATTTTTGTTCATGAGTAGTAATATGAAGTCCACAACTTGATCTTTTATTTAAGAAATTCAAACTTTTGATATATATTTAGGTCAAACCATTGTCGGCAAATTCCACCTCACCGTCAGCTTTAATTAGCTCATCCGAGACGGAGCAAATGAACGGGGTTACTGATTTCTTTCCTATCGTTGTTTGGATAATTCGATTTCCAGAAAATTTTACCAAATTAACTCCGCATTTTTCCTATTTAGAATGGAGTTTTAACGGTTGAAGCTCCAGCGCCAAATGTAAACCTTGAACAATTGGGACCCAGTCGCTTTCAGCGTATCCCAATAGAAGATGCCGGACGCAGACATCGAGTTGGTATGTACGACTAATCATCAAGGTCCTGCACAAACACTGCGCTCTTCGGTTTAAACCAACTACTCTAATGCCATTATTACTTCTAAACAGTAACGCATCTCACACCTTGCCGCAAACAGCATTCCATCAACACAAACAGGATCAATTTTCCTTATTGTTTAAACGGATCCATTTTATGGCACCACATTTGAAGATTAAGTTTGTTTTCTTGCACACTAGTGGCTTCCTCTCATTTTGATACTCTCACAGCCCCCCCCCTCTCCCCACTTATGTATTTTTAAGCAACGTAAAAGCAGATTTGATTAACGATTACCTCTGTGCCTGCGCTTTAATGCTTCTGAAGGAGGTATTGGTAAGCGAAGTATCAACAAACAGTTGACTTTTTGGGGCTTTGCCTCTAAGCTGCGTTAATACTGCTCGCTTCTAATTAAGACGCACCTTTACTTTCACGGAAATCCTCCATTTGGCATGATTTAATCTTGCACTATTTTGTAGGCAAAGTAAGATCTAAATTCCGTAAAGGTGAGCGTTTAACTATTTTTTTTGAAAATGGTAGTAAATAAGATTAAGACATACACAGCATTATAGCACTCAACTGCTTAATTAAAATTCGAATGTCATAATAACAGGAGTAAATAGATTAAATATGTTTAGGCAGTTATCAGGTGTGCTTGAATCACCGATAAAATGGCCTGAATTTTGAAAGATTTTTTTTTATATTTGCATGTGGTTGGGCATTTTGAATGGGTGGGTCAAAATTAGCAAATATAGATCTGTTATTGTTGCCAGGTTGAATTTTACGAAACTGTGCATACTACTCTGGCTTCAGGAAGAAGAAAGGCGATTTTCGGCCCAAGCCACGATTGAAATAACCAGATGAATTCATCCGTGTAGTCAGGAAATAGGTTGCCTGGTAGGCCAGTGACGGCTTCTCCTCAGGGATTTTGCACATCCATGCGTGATCGCTGGAAACCAATAATCAATAGTTTGGTGCATGGGAGATGAGGCTTGCGAATTTCTCCCAAGTATGATAAAGAAAGTTAATTAGACTTCCCCGATGAAATCCCAACAAATGAAAGCATTCAAAATGTGCTATTTGAGTAGTCGTTAGCATGGCCATCCTTCAAATCAAAGATGACAGGGTAACTGCTCAACGTGCTATCTAATGAGACAGATTGCCTAGTACACTGGTGAGGTCATATCAATAAAAGGGGTGATAGAGTGTGAGCTTGATGTGATAGGGACCTGTCAAATCCCCTTCCACTGACTACGTAAGTCCAACGATGTCAGTGTTTTCCATTATAGGTCTAGCGATGTAAAAGACTTTTCAAGGGATTGGTAGTGATTTAGCCCTCCTGCTCTTGAATATAAAGGTACTCGTGAAGTATTTGTGAACACCTTGGTAAGGTTGATGCTCAGTATACTTTATTAGCAACAACTCATGTCCTTTCGTATTCGCAGAATGATGGGATTAAGAGCAGAAAAGGTTGAAGCAAATTGAATTATCTAAAAAAATGGTTAAAAATCATAACAAAATAACTTATTCATTTCTCTGCGGACAGCTTATTTCGATTATCAGACTCCTTGCTCTAGGCCATTCAAAAAGTGCCTACGGTGGAACGAAATGAAATGGTTCTAGTTTCACAATATTCCAAATCCACGTATATAAATTTGTACTTACTTAGTATTGATGTCAGAATCGAGATGACATGATCATGAATAGCCTACTATGGACAAAAATCTCGCTCTCAATAACCAAACTGTTCAAATTCCAATACATTCTCCTTATCCACATCTCTAATTTGCATACACGTCGATCATTTCAACGGTTTCTTTTTAGTAAGGGGGCCTTATATGTGACAAATTTTCACAATGATTGTATTCTTTGATCACATTAAAACTTGATCAAATGAGAAAGAATGCACAGATATCGTATTGCCTACAGTGACTTTACATAGGCTCGATCAGTGAAGGCGAATGCCAGAGGGTGTGAATCGTTGATTTTGTGGCATTAAGATTATCAATGTAGGGTCATGTGATAACGCCATTTGAGATTGCAATTTGAGCACGAGTGACAGCATTCTGTTTTAAAATGCGCCTTGTTTGTCGATCGACTCGGTTCCCTTTTGTTCAATATAAAAACTAAATGGACAAGACCTATTCTCTCTGGTGTCAATGTTCGAGGTTTTGATACTTGTCGAACTTTCAACAGACTACCCTCCTCATTTAAACCTGGTAGCTAGGAGTATTACAGAATGCCAATTTCAATGTCAATAATTCTACATAATGTCTACCTAATCAGTGAGTCAGTTAACTAAACAGCAACATAAAATTCATACTAGAAAGTGAAACAATGAAGTTACACTGCCATTTCTAGCAATTTCCAATTAGGGTTACCGATGCTAAAGCTCTTGAAAAAAAGCTCTTATTAGCCAAGGAGGGTTGGTATAATGATCTCGAAGCTGTCCTTTTTCCATTGTATCTTCAGACCAATTTCAAGGGGCTAAAACTTGAATTCATAGACATCTTTTAGCATATACTTCGATGACTAGTTCTATTTCGTTTGGTAGTCATTTGTAGGTACCATCTTTTCGAGCTACAGAGCTTACCTAAAGGTGCCGTTTTCACCTTTCATATACTTATACACCTAAATGATAGCATTTCCCAACACTTAATTTCAGATGCAATCAAAGATACCGTTCGAGAAAACCCAGACGGAAGTCGTGATCTGAATATTTCCTTGCCGGTTGAAGATATCTACGACCAAAATGACATTAGAATTCGATGTGATGGTAGAAAACTATATGTGGAAGGCAATAAGGGAGATGACCACTTTACTCGTACTTTCTACATTCCTCAAGATACCGACCCCAACAAAATCAACGCTAGACTAAACAATGGAGTTCTTACAATAACTGGACCTATTCCATAAGATTTTTCCCAACCTCTTTTCCCCTTCATATAACTTGCGCTTTTCTTTCTGACAAGAAAATATTATTGTCGTAGTAGCGTAATAATAATACAAGATAACGAGAAATACAGGGAGGTCAGTGGGGGAGGGGGGGGGGAAATGTAAGCGAAGGTAACTAAGCAGGAAATTCTCTGAATGTTAAAATCGACTTCAAGACGCCTTTAGCCTGAAAAGACACAACAAAGAGCCAAATTTCGGGAGATAAAAGGGGATGGGAGGGGGGGAGGGGGGTATACTTTCAAAAATGCTTACCCAGATCTCAGACAAATTATACAACGATATGGGCTCCCTGGCTTTACGTCGAAGTATACGGTAGGTATCGAGAAATTGTTGAATTAGAATGAAGGAGGATCTTCGGAAACAGGATATCTCGCGTTCATTATAAATGGAGTCACTAAGGGGTTGTGGTTTATCAAAATCGGACCGGCGGTACATCCAGACAACATTTTTGGTGATTAGATAGGCTGGCGGAATACACACGTATAATGGAGGGACCCCACAAGGCAAATTCTATTAAAGATTCACCAAGTAAATAAATAAAAATATTCAAAGTTGATAATGAAAGTAGTGTCAACTAGCTACGCCTAGTGATAAAGAATAACAAAAAAAGCAAAATATGTTATTTAATAAATGTACTTATTATGCCATCAATACAGCCCAGTAGGATGAAGAAAACAAATTCTAACTTCAAAAAATATTTCAAATCAATTTGAGCTATGTGAAGTATAAATTAATTCATTTCATTTCAAATGAATAATTTAAGGAATAAGCACCATTTTCAATAAGGCGAAGAAAAATGAAATAAAGCATTGATTTCATCAAAATAGAACCTTAAATTATATATATATATTATTTTCACTTTGTCACTTTATACAAGTCCCGTTTTATATTCGCTGCCTACAATTCTATTAACTAAGTAAAGACAATGATGGTAATACATGTAAGCCGCCAAGAACGTTGTCACTGACATTTTGAATAGGCTACGATAGCAACAACGTCGCTACCCAGTACCAAAGTACGTTCCAGAACACAGACATCAGCTTTCCCGTACAGCAGTCAAATCTTGTAGCATCCTCATGCACGATTCCAGAGTACGTTATGTGGTTACTTCCTCCCACACGCGCATCCTTGGGGTCAATCATGATATCTTTCATAGCTTCAAATATCATTATGTTCCTCATTCTTACAATAGTCATGAGAAAAGGTTGTATTTATATTAATAGTGTAACGAAATAGTATTGACACCAATGAATAAAATCCACAGATAACTTACCTTAGAGGTGAAACTTAAGCGCAAATGTAAACTATCATTCCATTCAGCAGCATCATGGATCTTATCGTGCTTATTCATTTCCTCTATATCTGGATAGTCTCCAAGAGCGAGTTGATCCTTGGACTCGCCTGTGGTGTCTGGATGAACAATAGAGACTGTAACTTCTTCGATGTCTTTCTTTATTTCCTCCAACTCGCCATTTAATCGAGAATTTAAGTCATCAAAAGTGAGGTCAACATCTGATATTCGCTTTCCACTGCGTACCAATTTATCCTCCTCAGAAGTAGGAATCTAAAGGAAAAAAGGGAGATAGCATTTGAAAAGCGACTTATAAGTAATTATGTAAACATCAATTCTCACTGGCCACTCTTCGTATTTTGGTTTCTTTGCAGCCGCGATCTCATTTAATTCAGCTAATCGTTCAGCTCCACCAATTATCATATTGCCCGTATTAAAATACGGACCTGCATCAGACTTGGGCACAGGGAGTACATCTCTGGGCAGCAAATGGCCAGATTTCTCCAATGTTTCTCTGGCCAACTCACAAATCTAAAAGTGGAAGAACAAGCCTCAAAACAACGCAAGTAGAATTGAGGTCATCTACCAAAACAGACTCGTTTTACACCTTTAATTCCGTCATGTTTCATTTGTCACATTTTCGTACTTATGGCCACGTCAATACCAATTTGGCAAAACAACATTGTCTCTTTCTTTGTTAATTCAATGAGACATCACATAATTTCCGACACACTGAAGGTGACCGCTTAGTGGTCTCAATGTGGATGTTTATCCGCCTAAGATCTGCGATTAGAGCAGTTTAACACTGTAGAAGAGCAATTTAATTGAATGCCGAGACATACTCTAACCGAGCCTACTGAACCGTTACAAGGCGACTGGCAGTAAAATCAAGGATCAACTAAATTAATTCTCGTATGTGCAGCGACATTGTAGCACATTCTTTGTTACTCACTTTTTTGTCAGGTGATGGCGTAATATCGCTTTTCTCGGTTAGAAAAGCGAAAAAAGTCAATATTCTAGTTTTCTATATGAAGAGTTAGGCAAAATCGCTTGGGGTTTGTTAAGGCTACTTTCCTATATGACCTGCATAACTGCTAGATTTGGATTGATACTAACAGACATCGCAAAAGAAGGATAATTGCTAGCGGGAGAAGAAAAAATATTGCAAAGAAATTCGCCACACTAGTAACACAGACGGATAAACGGTAAGATGTTGTAAATTGCGAAAAGCTAACCGAGATCGAGGATGGGTCGAAACCTACAAAAATTGCATTCAGGAGAAAAAAATGATAGATAAACGTAAATCATAGGAAAAATTTAAAAAAATGAGTTCGACCATTACTTGATCGCTTGCTATCACCATGAATTCGGCACTTGACCAAGCCCCCCCCCCCCCCCCCCCCCCTCCCCCCACAAAAGACACTTGGGAATGACTATCACAGGAAATAACCCCAAATTAGTTAATGGTCATACTATGAAGACCAAAATAAATTGTTACAAAATCAAGTAACGTTGAACCAATAGATTTTGCTTGAGATGAAACTAACGGAGGAAGACCAAATAATATTGCTTGTAATAAGCACCATCAAATGCCCTACAAACTAATCAATTTCCCCTAAATTAGATAGGTAACTATACCATACAAATTGCATGACAAAAAAGGCTATTATGAAATAATCGAATGGACAAAATTACTTCATTATCAATTTGCGCAGCTCTAACTGGTCCTGCCTTTCGTCTCAAAACAGCAAGATCCTCAGAAATTTTATCCATAGCAGAGTTGAAATCATCCACAGGATTTTCGTTCAATAATTCTGCTGTTGCAAGACTTATCTGCTGTTGTTGGGATAACAACTGCGATTGCCTAGCAGCTACATTAGGAGCATTAAAAGGTGTAGCAGCTGGTGCCCCTGGATGGTCCACAGGCTGTGAGAGGAGGGTATTTAAACTGGACGAATTCGGAGGTCGAACACTCTGGCCTTGTATGGAACGTTTTTGTGCCAACAACTTTTGCCGCGTCTCCTCAGACGCCATTCCACCATTTACCCCTTGATTCTGCTGCTGTGGGTGCATTATTTGTCTCTTTAGCAAATATGAAGGTTCAGTTTTCAACTGGTTTATCACCTTCTCTACTGTATGTAGATTCTTTTGCAGAATTTGACCCTGCGACAGATGGAAAATGAAGACGCTTAAAACACTACTACTAACTAATTAAGAGTAGAGGATATATTTGAAAATATGTATACCGTCGATATTGCATTCTTGAGCATATGATAATTCTTCAAATCAGCCTCAGGATGTTTTTGACTCAACTGTTTCATAGCATTGTCTAGGATTTGCAGAAAGTTCTGTTGTTGCTCAGGTTTCATAAGTTGCGATGAGTTTGGCATCTGGCTACCACTGGAAGCTAAAAAAGAATAGTGCGAAAGGAACTGACGGCGAAATAGTAATTGTAAATAATTGGCAAGTCGCATTTGATAACGCTCGAACCTAAAGTGAGTTTAAGCATATTATGGTAGGAGCTCTTTTAAAACTGAAATCATGAATTGTGGGGACAGAAGTAAAGGGGATACATGTTATATTTCAATCAACTATGCACTATGATTTGGTTTGATACCTTGTTAATAATAGTTACAAACTGATTAATGTTCGAATTACATTCATTGTCTACTCCACATATTCTAATAAGAATGAGTATATGGCGCAAATGAATTGAGATTCAAGACCCTTTTTCGGTTTGGCATTGAAAGAGCATCAATCTTTCCCCTTAATTCCATTTAATCACTGAAACACTTGCAAATAGAAGCCAGGAACCCATTTTTTCGACTAGCGAGAGAGTAACGAGAACAAAATGGCCGAATTCACTTGTAAAATACATGTTCAAATTCTAAATTTATTTTCTGGTAAGCTATTAATAATTCCAAAGACGCTTGGGGAGGTGTTTCCAATATATTTGTCCTGTCTAGAGGAGTAGCACCATGGAGCACTTCCATGGAAAGAAGCTTAAATTTTGTCATCACATTTAACTGGTTTGATTTAAGCAGTGAAATCGGCCGTTCTACCCACTGGATTCTTATTACCGTCAAATAAATTTGAATTGGCTACCGAAATAAGCGATTGCGGAAATGCATTTGAATGAAAAGATGGGTAAATGGAAAGGAGCTATCCACTTAAAACGAAAGGAATTGCAATAAGAATTCGTTGACACTCGAAATCAGAAGAAATAGTCGCATCTCATTGTTGAATTCAAAAAATTTGTATTCTCTTTCCTTTTACTAAGTGCAATAACGATAAAAATGTATATGAACGTCCAAATAGACAGGAAATGCAACCTGTCATGCTCACATAGCCGGTTAACTTATTTAATCAATTGGTACGTGGTGTCCATGACTTGCAGTACCCCCCCCC